AAAAAAAAAAAAAAAAAAACCCCAGCCACTACTGTGTCCTCTCTTCGCTGCAATGCCAAGCTGTAGCGTCCCATCAAATCCCCCCCCCCCCCCCCCCCCCCCCCCCACACACAGTTACTACTTTCATACTGGCACTTATGCCAGGCTCCATTCCCCACCCTCCTACCATCTCCCTCACACAACCCACAACAGTTTGTCAGTTGTTCAAGCTCAGGAGTAACACTCAAAAACAGTCCCTGTTCTCATAGGCATCCATTCCTAACCACAGTGATGTCAAAATATTGAAAAGTGCATTGTGATGTCACAATGCAAGCTCCACCCTTTTCTACCTGCATCACGAGGTCTCATGCAAGCATGTACTGTAAGTGGAAGATTTTGTGCTGTAGTGCATGTTTCATCAAGCATGCAGAAAGGGGCAGTGAAGCTGTAACTTGTTCCATTCTCCATATCCTTGTGCAGTTTAGAAACCTGATGAAATTGTAGGTTCCACAACTAGAAACAGTTCCCCAATTCAGAAGGCGGGAGCAGATATGACAACCAGTAGACCCAAAAAAGCAGGCCTAAACATAATACTCCTTTTCAGTTCCCTTTGTTTCCTTAAAATATGGGTGAAAGGGCTTTGAATACATTTGGCCTTCTTCCTTGTGAAAAAAGTGAGAATAAACTTTGATCTGATTTGCGAAGCAGTTGTAGAAAGATGTTCACATTAGCCATGACTGGTTTTCTCCTCTCACAAAGAGCCTAAAGATTCTAACTTTTCAACTAGGCTTCAGTCAGAGATGTCTGGTGTGCCAAGAACAAAGTATTTCATAGGCCTGGAGCCTGAAGTAATGCTGGATTTCACAGGGAATGTGCTTCATTGAACCCCTTGACTCTTCTTACAGGGAAAAAAAAATAGAACATGCCATTTCCATCTGAATAAATGAGTTCCCTCCCCTTCAGTATTTTAAGCTAATGGACTCATACATTTGGCTTAAAATGTACAGTATAAGGGACTCCATCACATTAAAACAGTGAAAATTGTTTTATCTTCCTTTTCTGTGGAAGTGGGACTCAACCCCCACATGTGGAACTCAACTCCACACGTGACTGTACCAATAATTTCTGTTTGGGGACAGAAGCAAAGTATCACTGCAGTTACCTTGGAATAACAATTGCATGATTTAACATTGCAACTTTGATTCATGTTCAGTAGCTCTGAGGCATTCTGTATCAATAGCTGAATTATTTGATTTGATTTACCGGCTACATCCTCAATACTGCTTTTGTGATACTTTTATAAGCCCCTTATTCATGGGTGAGATCCTGGTCTGCTATATATTTGATGCCTGAAAGAGGGAAGCGGGTTGGAGGTACGTGGCTGGAGGTATATGGTTTTAGCCTGTGTTCATGTTAATGGCAAGTTGAAGATCTAATATATGGCATCCCATGGTGGATACAGATGACCATATGACATGTTTATTTGCCAGATAAAGCAAAAATTCTTAACACTTGGCAGGATGATTCAGAGGTTAAATATAGGCATTTACCATAGTAGGCTAAGGGCATCAAAATAGCTTGCTGAATCAGATCAGTCGAGCATTGTTTTCTCACCCTGACCAACCAGCTGCTTCTAAGTATGCAAAACCACCATCCTGCTTATGTTCCCCAGAAACTTGCCCCATGGGACACATTGCTTGGTAGCTAACTGAATACGGACTCTTTCTACATACAATGTACTGAATGTGTGTTGGTTTATGCCTATATAAGAATTCCTTCTTTCCTTCCTTGTCTTCCGCACTGCCTATAGACTGACCAGGCAACAAAATTGTCTTCACTCAAAAGGACAGAATGGACAATTGATTCATGAAGTTTATTTTTGGTAAGTTAATTCTTGATGACCCAATGCAGGTTTTTACTTGAGTCTTCTCATGGTCAAGAAATCAAAGGACGTTGATTAGTTTCAGGCCCCATTTTGTTAACTCTCCTAACCTGGCATAGTCCAATCATTTATCCATTTCCTATATTTGTACCCTGCCTTTCCTGCAGGAACTCAAGATGGCATCCACAGAACTTCCTCCTCCTGCATTTCCCCACAGCAACCCATGTGTAGTAGGTTGGACTGAAAATGTGACTGGCCCAAAGCCACCAGCGAGCATCTATGCTTCAGAGTGGACTAATTTATTGAAAAGGAGGACAATGATTTCCTGATTGGTAGCCACAAAGATGATTTTATTCTGAGCTGGTAGAAGAATAAAGTTTAAAACTTACTTCAAAATATATAAATACTGGTTCCTTTTTCTAAAGTTCTTCTTTCAGTTCCCCATTTGCCTCCATAACAGCTGTGCACTGAATTTTCTTCTGCTAGGTCTTTTTGTGGTTTTCTTAAGGCTGGATGAGACAACATGCCTTTTCACTCCTATTGTGCAGCAAAGAACCTTGGCAATTCTGCTTTTGGAGAATAACCGTACCCAACCTACTATTGCCGTACCCATATTATTTTGGAGAATAACCGTACCCAACCTGACATTCTTTGGCTCTTTAAAGGTCTATTTACCCATTTGTGCATTTGTTTTCTAAATTACATAATTGCACATGTGTTTCTGTTTCTTGGGATGCATAGAATTACAGTATATAGTTCATGTTTATTTGTGGAAGAAAGCTCAAGTAATTATAATATCTAGAAGGAGAGGTAGAGTTTACAATCTTGTAAGAAATTTTGCTATAAATTTTAGCTTAAGCTGACTGGTATTAAATGGTACTACTTCAGGTGAGGAGATAGGTGTTTGAGTATTTCCCCAGGTGATGGAGAAGAAGGAATTGGTGCACGGCCCAAACTGCATGTCAAGATGAAGGATTCACCCTTGCATATAGACAATGCCAGTTCATCTGCAATCAAAGGAAAGCAATCGAGAACAAAGCTGATCACTGGATATTGGTATGCCACTGTTGTAATAATATAGAAATAAACATTCCTTCATCCCTGAGCCTTGTATGTTAGATAAGAAAATCTAAAAACAATGCTTTCCTTGTCCTGAGATGTTCCTATCTAACAATGGAGTTAAGAAAAAGTAATGGCAAACTGTACCTGAGGCATTAACTGGCTGGACAAGGCTCAAGAGGAGAGCATCCACAAAATAGCAAGGCACTATTTTTATTGCCTTAAAAAGTTAACAAAACCATTTCAGGCAAAGTATTAGGAGATATAGAAATTCACTGGAATATTGGGTAAAGAGACTTTTAAAAATAAGGATGAGGCCACTGCCATTTATTTCAGGAAAATATGTCCAGTATGATCACTATTTTTCAGCCTGATTTATCTCATAAAGTTGTTGTTAGCATAAAATAAGGGGAAAACCCCAATATGGGCAAGCCTTGAGCTTCTAGTGATAGAATTGTGATACTAATGAAATTATTTGACACACAGGTAATCTTATTCCTTGCTATAATTCCAAAGTTTTCCTCCAAAAGTAAAGAATGTACAATCCTCTAGATTTTCTTGGATTCTAATTCTTATCAACCTCAGAGAGACCAACCAATTATTAGGGATATGGGAACTTGGGAGTTAAATAAGCTGTAGGGTCTACAGATTTTTCTCCCTTATTCTAAATATATCAACACACAAAACTGAAGACTATGAAGTCTGTATGTGGAGCTTTTCCCGCTCGCCAACCTATTACTTTCCTAGTTGTCACATGTGAATTCACTGGCTTAACATTGTCTACATGTGAGCATGACTGCTGTGAGTGAAAACTTCCATAAGTGTGGATTCCATTTCTTTTACTTGTGTCCAAGGTTTCCTGATGATTTAAGGGAAGAAAGGAATGGCTGCAGCTTCAGTATTATAAGATAATGCAGATGGAGGTAGACCTCTGAGATAAAACCTCTGTTTCATCTCAGAGGTCAAACTCAAACTCCAAAACATGCTGAAATCATTTGTCATAATTATGAAGCGTACAGCCAACCACTTCCATACTGCCAAGAAAATTATATGGCCGTGTCCAAAGTCAAGCTTGAGTTGAAAGAAACTTTACCTTTTTTATGCATTTAAGATGAAACTCAAATTTTATTACAAATGTATTGTTTATTCAAGGGTTTTGATGAGGAAGAACTCCATGGCTATTTTATTGTGAGGGTGTATTTTCAGACGTGGGAAGAACAAAAGATATTAAAGTTAGAACCATATGTGTAAACCAAAGCTAATCGGCCGCATTGACCAAACTGTAGCTTGCATCATGCAAATTCCCTAATATCAACAATGAGGGTTTTTTTAAAAAGTTAAAATGTAGAATTGCATGGAAGATTTTCAAAGCACAGGAGGGAAGAAATGAAAAACCACAGGTTCTTGCTAAAGCACACAAACTGCATTGTTCAGGGACTTGCTTATTGCTATCATTTAAGATTACAGACTGTCTTTCAGAGAGCTCATGTCAGCATGTGCAATACCTCATATGTGCCCAAGTGGCTTTTGACAACAGCCCCGCACATGACATTGCAAAAGCCTTTTGAATGCTAAACTTCAAAAAGGCTTGCCATTTATCCAGATCTGGGGGTGGCATGCTATGAAAGAGCAGAAGGAAACCCAGGTTTGGGCTGTCACCTACAGAGCCACATTCAACTGACACAATTCAATTTTACTTTGCATAAAATATCTAAATACAAATGTAACTCCAGGCTATTGCAACTGAGGGGAGAATGGTATGATTATCACTATAAAACTTCAGGCTTCATTTTCAAAAGATATCTAGAGCTGAACATTCAAACGATCCCTTGAAAGGTCATAGGCATCCCCTCCCAACTTCAGTGGCAAAACTATCATGAAATGTGTGTAAGACACAGGTGTGTAACACACAAGTTGTACACCATGATGCCATAATGCACATTTTGTCACTTGTTCCCTCTTGCCTCACCCGCAGACACCTTCGAGAAAGGTGAAATTGTGGGAGTGTGGGGACTGTGAGCCTCAGACCAGAAATAGAGACAGAATCTTAAACCTGGAAATTTATTCTACAGTATTTTTTTTAAAAAGAGTGCAATTTTAAAAAGAGCATTACAATTTAAAGATTCCTAATACATAAGTAGAAGCTAATGATTCTGCCAGTATATATGTACATGAATGTTAGATGGTTCTCTGACTCTAGCCAAAAATATTCCTTGACAAAACTATGTAGAAACAAAATCCTATTGTTAGCACCTTACAAAAAAATTGACTATTAATCTCATTGGCTTTGAGAACATAAATATAGTTTAGACTCTTGAGTTCCACCAATTGTTTTAGAAGTGAATGAGAAAGTATAGTTTAAGTGATTGCACTTTGGTCTATAGACAGAATATAGAAAAACAAAATGGAAGCCAACCTGAGAATTATTTAGACTAGAGTGCTCAATTTCTTCATTTTCTGCAGCTAAAGCCCAAATATGTCATAGAAACCTCTGGAAAAAATAATTTATGGGAGAAACCTATTCAGTGGAACAGAGCAGGGTTATGTACATAAGATCCAAGGCACAGTCACTAGCTAACAAGTTCCATCAGAAGACATGGAAAAGCTGTTCCTTTGAGAATTGAAACAGCTTTTGCCCAGTGAAGTATAAGGCATTGGGCAAAACAGTTTAATGGATGGGCCGAGCATATGATACCTTGTTCTATTTCTGATAGCACCTACAAATACCAGGTGGTTTCTTTTGGAAGTGCTAACCTGAGAGATATACATTTATGTGACTATCCAGTAAAAGCATTCTTTGCTTAAGCTCATCTGGCCTAAATCATTTTGGAATAGATATTCCCTAAATTATCAGCTACCATTGAGGACAAATTAATCTTATTAAATGATGAGTGTATCTGGGGTGTGCGTGTGTGTGTGTGGCTTTCATTTTCTTTCCTTTATTTCAATTTGAAAAGAAGATCATTTTTGTGTAAAGATAATTCCACCTACATGGTGGTGTTTGGTTCTGTTTTAATTTAGGCCTTGCGTTCAGCAGTAAAAATTAGCTGAATTCTTGATTGTGCTTGACATGTAGATTAGCTGTCACTTTACTGCTTCATCCTGGCTAACAATCTGGAATACACAGGAGCTGAAAAAAAGAAAGAAGCAGACACAGCTGTAAAGCACAAGTAGCATTATTTGATCTCTGCCTACTGCCACATCACTAATATGCACTAAAATTAAAATCAGTATTCAGGTACTATCTTTATTCCAGGCAAACTGATACTCTGCAATGAACCAGAACTCCCATAATTCTCTAACTGTTGACTATGTTGGTGAGGGCATGTAATGGGCTGTGAGAATAACCTTGAGAGACAGGAAAAAGAGCCATAGCCTAGACAACAGTCTGATAGTCCAAAGGAGGGATGGGGTGGAATAAGCATCTCAGAAGAGACCCTCCCTAATTCTATGGAATGTAAAAGGTACATTCAGACTTATAAGATTCTGTTACTGTAACCTTATAATAAAAGTAGTATTAGTATTTATAACTTTGGTTTCTTGGGCTGGACTACCTTGAAGGACTGACAGGGCGTATGGAAGTTGTTAGCTTGGAATAATTTGTTTTCCCTTAACCTAGTTTGTATTGTATACAGCCTGTTTATTTGGAAAATTATTCAGTTATAATGGTGTCCTCTGATCAACAGAATGTTCACGGATCAACATCTTAGACCAGGTTTAGACATGGAGCAGAATTAGGAAGGAATAAAATGGCAGAATGAACTGTACTCACTTCAGATTGCAAGTAGGGGAAATACATTTTTTTTTTAAATTCTAAATGAGTTTTGAGCTGGCTTCCTTGATGTGGTAGTTTTTAAACAGATTTTTAAACAAAAATGTCAGAATATAATGTATGTGCTAAAATTTTCTGTCAATGCCTTTCTGCAAGTGCATCTGATAAATATTTTTTTCCTTCATCAAGAAGTGCCCAAATCAGTGCCCAAACTAGGGCATTTATTTTGTTTTTTTATTAGCAGTATTTATAACCTAGCCCAATCCCAAAAGTCTCTGGTTATGTCTAAATTCAACAAAGCAATGTTACAGAACAAGTTATCAAGTCAATATGTATGATAAAAGCAGTTGAAGTTTTGCTGAAATAATATAGCTTTTACAAGTAGTCCTCAACCTATGACCACAATCGGGACTGGAAAATCTGTTAAGTGGTGCAGTCATTAAGTGAGGCATTATGTGATTGCATCTGATTTTATAACTTTTTTGCAGCAGTCGTTAAGCAAATCATGCGGTCCCTATTGATTTTGCTTGTCAGAAGCCAGCTGAGGTCACAAATGATGATCATGTGACCCCAAGATGCTGCAACTGTCATAAATACATGCCGGTTACCAAGTCTCCGAATTCTGATCATATACTGCAAGGACTCTGCCACAATCATAAGCGTGAGGAAGGTCGTAAGTCACTTTTTCAGTGTCATTGTAACTTTGAACGGTTGCTAAACGAATGGTCGTAAGTCAAGGACTACCTGCACTTGTTTACAAAAAGCTAAGAAGGTAGGGACTCTTGGGGAGCAGGGTCAGCGTTCCAAAGAGTAAGAGGCTGCTGTCCTCCATGCTGTTCATGGAGGCTGCTGTCCAGTCCCTCTTCTATGTACTTCTTGCAGGGAGGGGGCAGATATTCTCAGCAGGCCCTCTCTAGATGACTGGACCAGGCAGGCAGATTCAATTTTGTCAAGGTGTTGCTTTCTCTATAGAAGCACACTGGATCCAGATGTTGAAATCATTCCAGCAACAATCTAAAACATTTCTGTTTACTTTAGAGATACTGTATATGTGTGTGTGCGTGTGAGGGAGAGTGCTCTAAGAAGAGTATTAGCTTAGCTAATACCATTTAAGGTTATATTGTGTTTTCTGATTTAACAGAATTCTGAGCAGAATGAAGGGTGCTAAACTATTCCAAAAGGGTTTAAGAATGGCATCAATGAGCCACAGTCTGAAGTAATCTAATCCGCTTTGCCACTTAACAATTCTACCTTTTCATTTAGTTGCATCGCTAAATCAAGATTCACTCTTACATTCTGGCAGACAAAAGAAACAAATCTGATAAGAGTTTTGATAGGGAAATCTCACCACTGAATGACAATGAAGATTAAGACCAATGATTAAGTCATATAGATAATTAGCTCACAGATATGGTATTTGGCCTCCGGCAGTTATTTTCATCTTTTCACTGAAGATATGGATTCAAAATTTATTGGGAATCTTTTTATTCTTTCATCAGATGCTGTTTAACTAATCACAGCAGGATTTTGGAAAGCAGCAGTGGATGAAAACCTGTCAGTTACGCAATGTGGAGCTGATGGTTGGAGGTGGGAGAAAGGAAACAGTGCTTAAGCCATAAATATGTCTATTTTCATAAATTATGACAAACAACTATTTTGAAACCTGGGCAATGCACTCTATATCTGTTGTCTTGGCACACTACAACCATTTGCAGGTTGGCTCAGATATTCATGCCAACGTGATGTGATCATGACAGTAGTTCTTCTCACCTTCCCTTGGCAATATCTGCCAAGTTGTATTTGACAAAAAAAGAGAATAGTATATTGGCTCCTTAAAGCAGGAGTATGCAAGCTAATGCCAAGATTATTTTCTTAGCTATTATACCTCTTGCTGATTGCACCAGAGGCAAAAGTGTGTGTGTGTGTGTGTGTGTGTGTGTGTATGTGTGTGTACTATGTAAGACTGTAAAGAAGATCCATGCTGAACCAGACTGA